TACAGATGACAAGTGTCAAACAACTACTAAAGATATATTGACTCCTGCTTAAATCTTTTACACAGTCACACTTTTTTCTGACTAGGGAACTCAGGGCAAAAATAACCTGGGCCAAAACACAGAGCTGCTAATCTCCAAAAAAAAGCCAGCACCTCCTCTCCAGGACTAAGACTGTTGCTGGGATGATAAAGGAAACCTACCCTACTAACACTGCAGGTATAGCAAAAGTTTCCCTTATCGGAGCAGTACAAACCTTACAGCAGCAACAAATCTAATTTCCATATATTGTGGCTTAACCTCAGTAGGCAGCTAAGCATAACACAGCCATATCCATGAATAGATTTGATATCATGAAATTAGCTTTTGAAATAATACACATGAAAGAGTGCAATAGAACAGATCAGAGCTTGGTAGACCTGAAAATAAATGTTAAAAAAATCTTTCATAAATTTAAAAGATTTTGTTGTAGAAAGGTATGATTCCAGAGTTAAAACTTAACAGCAGTGAATCAACAAATGAGTTAAGCAGAATCAATGCGACATGACATCCCTAATTCCAGTCAAATGTGCAGTGTATTTTCTCTAGATATTTTCAAAATGGCCTAACTGGAATGCAAAGGGTTACAAAGTTAAAAAAAAAAAGTTACTTCATACTAAGAAAATGAACAAAAGTTGTTGATATACTCAGAAGAGTGTTATTGAGCATGAGTTCTATAAAGGCATGTATTCCTTTCGCAGAAGGCTAAGACAAGAAATGTGAAAGGAAACAAGCATATACTATTCATTGGGACCTTCAAATTTCTTTTGACAGGGTCCTTGAAAAAAGGTTTTAAAAGAAGTATTAATAGCCATAAATAAAAGTATTATTTAAGATGGATTACAAACCAGTCAGGAAAAAATAATGATAAATGGCGGTACGAAAAGTTTTTTAAGATATGAATATGCAACAAACCAAATTTAAGGATGCACATTGTTAGCTGATTCAGTAGAAAAAGAACACCTAGTATTGTTAACCATTCCAAAAAGATTTAATTCAACAGCATAGTCGGCAGTACAAGAAATTCAATTTAACTTATGAAAGAAAAATTTATAATATATAAAACAAGAATGATTTTGCAATGATCGTAGATGAAGCATCACAAATTGTGAAGGAGACATTTAAAAGCTATATGGATCTAGAGCAATATTTTAAACTGTGTAATCAAGGATGTTTCAGTACCCTGGGTACTGGAAATACCACCTTCCTACATTATGTTCTTTCTCAGGAAAAATTCTTCAGAAGCTGCAGAGGAAAAAGAAACAGTTTTAAAATCCAAAACACTGAGAAAGTTCACAGTTCAAATTTTAAATTCTTAACCTGAGAAAACCGTATCTCTTTTTCTCAGTGTTGTATACTAAGATTTATTCTAATACTGCTATGCATTCTGATGTACTGAATCTTGGAACACGTGATGTGTGACTGTCTTGAAAGAAGAAAGGCAGAGATCAAAATAAAAACTATGATATTCTGTTGTTTTTCTAAACACTCACAGGCTTGTATCTTTGTTTATTTCTTCATCTCATCTTTAGTATGCCCTAAAAACACTGAAGGAAATGTAATCAAAATTATGTGAAAACAGGATGAGGTTACAGGATGATAGCTGGAAGCTTCAGTTCCTACAGTATTGTAATTCAGAGTCCTCTCCCCATGTCTACTTCCTTCTTAATGTCCTCTGAATAGGAGAAAATAAGAAATTCAGCTAATGCATTTCTTGGCACATCACATTTGTTTTTCCAGGGTAGCATAATTTTACATTTACATTTCATTAATAAGTTTTACCCTCAGGGTTCAATTCTAATTAATTAAATGTGGGAAAAGCCAGGTGACTTTCATCTCTTCAACTGCAGCTTGAGTTTAATCCTTTAAAAGCAAGCATAAATACCAAGCCTAAAATATGATTGTTCTATCAGGAAAAGCTAAACTCAACACAATAATCCCCAGCCTAAATAACCTTGAAAGCACAGGGTGAAATTTAAGTCTTATGGCGACTATGTGCATGTATAAGGAGTCTTAACTTTTTCTGCTTTTAAAATTATTTTTATCTTCCTCTTTAGAAGCATAACAAATCTCCAGGAGAGCAAGCTTTGAAGATTCAATTTTCTCTGAAGATTTTCATCCATGACGAAAAATTTCATAAAGTACAATAATTGACAGTTAAACAGGTGTAGTTCTTTAACTATAGAATAGTAACATAAAAGATTTCCACTAAATTCCTAGAGTGTATTCTTCTTTATCACAAGAAATGGCAAAGCAACAGTTGTTCCTTCTCATGAGACTGTGCTATGGTGGCATCCTTAGCAGGTGCTCTTTGTTTATTATAGTAGTTACTTATATCAATTATTCATATGTGAAACATTGATTACAAAATAGAACAGAATGATTTGATGTTCAGTACGCTTTTCATAAAGTAGGGTAAAAGGTGGTCGTCCCCCAAAAAAACCCCGTTTATTCCAGATACAGGCTAACTAATTTGTAGTAATGGTGCTTCTACAGGAATATGGGGTGAACGTAAGATTCTGGAAAATTGTTCAGTGCACGTAGACATTAGCACAAACACAATAAAACAGTGATATGTCACTTAAGTTTTATATTCTTTTTAATTACACTTTTCTGGCACAGATCTCTAAAGCACTGCCAAGAAAGTGTGTTCCATAAACTGTTGAAGTTACCACCAGCTTTAACCTCTGCTAGCAAGATGTTTTGGGGATAACAATATCCATCGCTTTTTAATTCAGTGCACCATTACACAGAGGCCAGCATTTTGTCACCAACATATGTTAGAGAAGTTCAGCTTCAAGTTCAGAAACCTACTTTTCAGTTACCAGGGAAAACAAAGGCTTTCTACAGTATTTTTATATGGCTTGTCTTTCAAACTTAAATGTTCCATATATTCCTATTTCATCCGGTGGGATCCAGTCCTCTTCATGCACCAAAGCACACTAAATTCTCCAAAGTACTGTGCAATGTCTCATATGCTTGGGGGAAGGAGGAGTTGTACTATACTGCAAGATTTCTCATCTGTTTCCAGGGTGTTTCATTAGAGCATTCCATCTTTGAAATGCCACTAAGCTGCTTACCTGTAAGCAAAGGAAAGTGTGCTATGACTCAAAATCACAGGTCTCAAAAATACAGCTAACTAATTCATAATACATTTGCATTGTAGTGGGTTGGCTTTTGGATTTTTTAGGCCTTCCTCAGCAACGGGGGTCAGAAATCTAAGGAAATATTCCATATCATCCTTTAGCGTAACACAACATATAAAAAGGCACATATAAGAGAGCTCGCTCTCTCCTCTCTTCCCGTGGCTGAAGGCGACAGGTCTCTCCGCAGATGGTCTTGGCTTGTATAGGCCAAGGCCCGTCTGCTCCGACCTGCCGTTATCTCCGGTCCCTCCGGGAGGCGTGGGGAGTTGGCTGGTACCTCGCACAGTTCTGCTGTCTCGTTCAGGGAAGTATTTAATTCAGGTTTTTGTATTTATTCGCTAGCTCCCTATTAATGGGGTATATTTGGAGGATATTTGTTTTTAGGTTTTTTTTATCCCTGTTTCCCCCTCCGTTTTCCCTTTTTTCCCCTCGGGAGCTCCCTATCGTGTGTACAATATATTCAAATTGTATATATAATGGTAAATATATGTAAATATATATGTTGGATATAATTCCGTTTCATTAGGACTTCCTTTGGTTTTTCTGTGGTTCTTTTTTTTTTTTTTTCCCCCACTTGAGAGAGCAGGAGGGGGGAGGAGAGAGCTTGGACTTGGCGAGAGAGCCAGGCCAAACTGATACATGTATGCAGCAAAGAAAGGGATAGGATTCTGTGACTTAAAAGGCCTAATCACTCTTACACTCTTACAGTCTTTGATTCTGGTGTTAAAAGTGAATTATGTAGCAAACATTTTATTTTCTATGCATCACTCAAAAATTACATGCAGGAATGTTGCCTTTTGCAGTCATGTCTCTTTGGCATTTCTGCATAATCCATCCAAGGATGATTCCTGTTTACATCGAATTTACTTTTACTGTTGCTCAAGGTCAAAACTGCTGAAAATATTCCTTAAATGACATTTCAAAATCTGTGAATCTGACAGAAGTAGCCTCGGTAACTAACCCTGCTTAAATGCATAACATAGTTTGGTAAATAGTACTTTATATCTCCTTTAAACTAGATATTACTTTTATTGATAGAGCCAAGGGGAGAAAAAAAAAATCCCCAAATGGTGAGATTGCACAGAAATAGCAAAATGGAAAAATTTTGGGCGGAAATTCAATTCACAAAATGCTGCACCAGGGTAACTGCAGTCTCCTATGAAGTCTGGTTATCTAATACCTAAGGACTTCACAAGCAGCAATAAATACATACCCATATTTAATGCAGATTTAATGCACATCTGCAACAATGTAGATAGCAGCATTCTGCCCCCTTTGACCTCTGGAAGGTCATATGTCTTACTCAAAGTAAATTTACAGTGTAAACATACACGTGCCTGAAATCTTTTTAAGTATTCCACATGTGTTAGTTCAACTTAGTGATTTTTCAAGCTAAGGTAAAAAGCTTTTTTCACTGTAAAAAAAAAAAAGTTCAATTGAATTTTTTTTGTTCTTCATTTCAGAATATGTATTATGTATATATCAGAAAATATTGATTATGCATATATCAGAAAATATCAGCAAAGGCTTACTTTTTCACAATCCTAAGCAGCATGAGAAAAGAAATATGCTAAAAATCTCATGAGCCTGTGACTAATAACTCCATTTTTCAGATACAGTAGTTCTTTCAAGCAGAAAAGATACAATTTCCCAAGAGTAGGGCCCAGATGACAGAATTAATTCTCCTATTACAGTTGAGACAGTACAAACCAAATTCCAAGTGCAAGGCTCATTCCCTTGAATTGTCACCTCGTACACAATACAGACTACAGATATATAAATCAAAACTACTAAAGGAAAACAATAAATAAAAAACAAGACACTTCATTTTACTTTCCCTCAATGATAAAGAAAAAAAAATTAAGAAAATAAAAAGCCTCATGCCAGATATTGGCCCCTTTCCTAAATGCTTACTAAAATATACCATTTTGGTTTAGAATATGATAAGGAATAGAACAGAAGTAAGACTAATAAAAAGTAGAAATTTCTGGACACTGCCCCTGTGATTCCAACATAGTTTCTAGAAGAAAGAAAAATTATTAAAAATCGTTGTTTTCGTTGTTTATTTGTGTGTTTCAGCCTTTCATGAGTAATAAAAATAAAAAATCATTCAGAGATAAGGCTTGCATGGTAATGAACACTTCACAGCTAGCTGGAGATCTTTTCTTTTCCAGTGAGATTCCCTCAAAATCAAAGGAACCACACTGCCTACAACAAATATACTAGTGAGTACTTCTAACTGTGAGATGTAAGACTATATGCCAAAATACATTCATGTAAAATATGTGCATTGTAGCATATAAGAATTACAAAAATTCTGTTAGTAGTTAATGCACAGGCTAAAAGAGATGGCTCAAAATCCAGTGTCAGCAACAGCTTTAATTTTTCAAATAAAAATTCAATATACTGAGTATGCAGCTTTGCCATGAATGGAATAAAGATCAAAGAAACCCATTGGGGCAAGATTGGCATAAAATCGTATGACATTCAAGGACAAAAAAACTTCACAGAATGGGTAACCCTTAGAATAAATCTCAATTTCAGTTCAGTGCAGCTGGTAAGGGAAAATTATATTTCTAACATATCTGTTTTAAACTAAATAGATTAATTGTACTATAGCAAGGATTCATATTCTATTATTTTTCAGTTTTTATCACCTTTAAATGTGTAACATGTGAAGGCTTTTTAATAGATGAAATATTGCCATTATTATTAACAATTTGAGTTTATTTCTTCAGGTGTGGATTTTGTTATTAAAGGATAAAATGGTTAAACTACAAGCAACTTTTGTGCATAACAACTTTAATTGTTTCTATAATGAAAACAATCATAATCCTCTTCCTCTTTCATAGGAGTTAAGACTTATAAAAATTTTAGCTAGAAGTTTCTCCAAGAGGTCAACGGAAGAAGCATCTAGAAAAGCCAAAGGATACAGTTTGCTTTCTGCTTATGCCCTAAATCCTTTTTTTATTTCTGTCACTCAAGAACAAAATCTCACAGCAGGTCTTATAAAATCACCAGATGAAATTTAGTAGTGTGACTTTATTTGGCCTAGTCCATGTGGAGAGCTGATTGACAACCACAGTATGCACTCTGCAAAGCAGGTGGCAAAAGCCATTAGTGCCTGCTTTTCTTCATGCTGCCCTTCAGCAGCAGGTCCACCGGCTTGTGCCTACAATTACTCCATAAATGAATTATTGATCTGTCACTTCTGAGTTCACACTGTACTCTAGCCTTGGAATCTCATTGTTTTCAAATACATCCTAGGGATTACTAAATTTGTAGAGTAATAAAAAAAAAAATTATCCATATAAAAACAGAAGGGAATTTTTAAAAGACCTGTGTCAGTTAGCAACTCCCCCATCCAGAATTAGATTAAGAGATTAATCTAATCTAACACGTTTTGAATGAAACGTGTTTCCTGTATCTTGAGCAAGTTATAAATAATAGAGATAAGTATATAAATCACAGTTTTGCAAATGCATATGATGAACTCTAATCTGCCTATATCAACAACCATTACATACTTGATATCTACAGAAACATCTCAATATCTACTTGGCTAAGAAAAAGCTACAACAATCTAGATAAGAATCAGTTTTAAAGTAACTCATTGGAAATGGTGGACCAGGAAAGGTCCCAGAACAAGGACAAGAGAGCCAGATTAAAGTAAAACATAACTGGGTAAATGACTTCAAATTACAGCTGAAATATCTGTGTATGCAACACATAGCTATATATAGAATTATATTTAAATACATAATTGTATTTAGTTTCCATATATATTATTATATTAATATATAAAAATACAGAGAAACTGTATATGGAAAAACACATGTGGTCGGTATATAGAAAAAATATCTATAGAAATATCACACATTTAGAAAATACTTACATAAATACATATAATAATAGATATCATGTCTAGAAATATATATAAAATCATATTTCTGTATATAAAGAAACCATAAACAGAAATCAGAAATAAAAACAATGAAAAAGAAAATAGTGCAGAAAAGAAATATGATAAGTAGACATCATCAGGTAATACAGGAGAAGAACAAAAAGTGATACAACAAAGGCCGCGCTGCTTCAGTATCACAGATCAAAGTTAATCTGGAAAGCTGGAGAAGTTTCCAGATGAAGGAACAAGGTACTTTTTGACTTGGCTTGTTACTTCTATTCCTTTCCATAGTTTCAGTTTTTTTGATATTCTTCCTTTCCTTTTTCACTTCTAGTAGAGCAAATAATATCATTTTCTCTCCTATTCTATTTTCCCACATTTTTAGTACATAATTTGGTTTTTAATTATTTTCAATTATTTTTATTTCTTAATACTTTGCATTTAAATCTTTTGGTTAAAAAAACCCCTAACATAGTTATCCTTTTTATATTTTGTGAAATGACATTAAAAAGCCAACCATCAGTCAACCAATTTAATGTTCCTCAGAGAACTTCTGGGTTATAAAAAAGCCCTAAAAATTTATTAGGATTTACCTGACTTCTCTGACTCTCTATTCTTTCATTTTTCACAACTTAGCTATTTTCGTAATAAATATAAATATTCAAAATTCCTTTATTGTTGGTTTGCATTTTCTTTTTCTTCTTATTTATGTAGCCATCTTTTTCTAGAATCTACAACACTCTGCAAAAATGAACCAAAAATTTCTATAATCTTGATGTGCAAAAGCTGTCCTTTGCTACTTTTCATTATTATTGCCCTACTTCAGTGGGCTTTGTAAGTATTTGATCAGCCTGACAGCAGCATTTACAGTCAGATATCCTTTTCTTTAGAGACTATCATGCCATATGATCAATTTTGCATAAACCTTTTTTCCATTAAAATATATCAACAACAAGTTACTACTTTAAAAAGAGGCTGCTTGAAGTATTCCAGTGCTTTGCAATCAAAAGTGCCCAGCATCCTTTGTGCTTCAGAGCCAAAATGTTAAACATTCATTCAAGTCATTAATAGAAGTTGCTTGTATTTTGTAGATACAGCTGGTTAACCCAATTTTGTACTTTTTTGAGCACATTCAAACTTAGAGAAAGCTGTGTTTTTTCTCAGTATTCTGATTGTAAACAACTTCAGGTGTTTCTTCCAATAGCCCACCACTTGTGAGTCAGATAACTCTTTTAGTCCTTCCTTAGGCTGTTCTTTCCATACTGTCTGCTTGTAGAAACGCCATCAGTAACAGATTGTGAGCTTCTGAAGAAAATAGAAGCAAAGCAGAATAGTGAACGTCACTCTTTTTTTTTTTTTTTGGAACGTCAACATTTTCTCCTGGTCACAAAATACACCGGAAGGCTGTAAAATCGTACGGAATCAAATATTTGTGATCTTAGGGCTCAGCTGCGTTGCACCCCATTTATAACACATCTAGGTGCTCTTCAGATCATTCAGAGACAAAAGCATAATTCTTTTCACATGAAAATGCAAAACTATCAAGTTCTAAGAGACAGACTTGTATTTTTGGCCAGTACTACTAAATGTTCATTTCAAACATAGTTGTAATCTTGCCCAGGCAGTCTGTTCTGAAGCCAAGGCATAGTTATACGACTTAAATAGGATCAAAGTGGACCTGAATTTAACCCTAATTCTGAAGCAAAATTAGAAGTCTGAGCCTCAGTAATCACTTGCTCGAACTGAGAGGGCATAGAACAAAGTATTGCTTTTCCTTTGTTTGGGTCATAAGAATAATTTTCACACTCGGTCCCTGAAGAATCATTCAATTTTTTAAACACTTAAAGCACTAAAGACTAGGTATCTTTCTTCTAAGATGGCATAACTCCCAAATTCAATGTTATTTTTTAAATGCAGAATTACTACAGCCATGACTGCAGTAAATTTGTCTTTGACAGATTGCTTTCAGTCTCATTAAATGGTAACTATAGTAGCAGAGTTCTGAAATTATAAATTGTGAGTGTATATATCTAAATAAATAAAGATATCATCTGCCTTAAGTCTTTAGTTACTAAGGGATAATCAAGAGCTAATCACAACAATATTAAAGGGATCTTTGCATTATTGAATTTTTAATCGGGTAATAGTACTGATACTTAGGTATGTTTAACTGCAGTCTGATAACACATTGCTAGCAGATAATTATCTCAGTTATCTTTTGCAGGCACTGCAAAAGTTTCACCTACTGGGAGGAAGGTGAAGCTCTGAAAATTACTTCGGTTTTGATTAGGAATCTGTATGACAGATATGAGGAAGAAAGGTGATACAGGTTACATTACTATGTAAAATCAAAGACAAGTTTGTACAGTGGTCAGTTGAAAAAGAGCTGTATTAGTTGCAGTATTTTTTAATAGGGTAATGGTGATAACACTGTGATATTTTAAGTTATTGCTGATGTCTTAGCCTACTAGTTAACAAATTTTATAATAGTCAAGAAACTATTGAATGTTGTTATATACAAAATTTTTACCTTGCAAAATATATCTGTTGTATCCAAATTCTCATGCCTGAATCTGAAACTTTATTTAAACTTCTATTTGTGACTGCATGACCTTGCTCATTTATAGTGCCGGAATCTATAAAAAGCTCCACAGGGTAAAAAATGTACACTTCTCGTTATGTTTTCAAAGATACTTTCCTATCTGTAATATGCAGAAGTAATTTTTTTTAATCTCTGTATTTTCTCAATTCATCACTTGTAGCCCTGTAAATATTTTTGATACCCAGCAGGATAAATGTCAGCACTGAAAAATATTAGTACAGTCTTGTGCCTTAAGTTTAAAAAAAAAAAGTTACTGCAGATAAACTTTAAAGGATTATCACTTAATAGGACATTGCTTTATATAGAGTAAAAAAGTATTTGATTTGAATATTTTGAATTCTTGATTGTATCTTAGAGAAAAATATAATTGCTATGTTATATGTCTGTCTTTCAGATAACTACTCCACTAGATGCTGAAAACAGAATAACAAAAGCCAAAGTTAACAACTGTGGTATGTTCCAAAGATGCAAGTCTATATTACATACAATCCCAAGCTAACTTTAACCATCTTAGATTGGATACTAAAAGGAATACAGATGTGGTACCAGAGCCTTCAAAGTGACTTCCACAAACATGATCAGCTAAAGTGCTCGTCACCTACACCAAAACCAAAATTATGATACAATTTTAAAGTTGACCTGTTTTAAACCAGATCTTCTTGTTTTATCTATGCTGCATTCATATCTGCCCATTCAAAGACGTGGAGGAAGAAAACTATATTAACAGAAAGAGGTGCTATTCAATTATCCTTAATCATTTCAGCTTCAAGTGAAAACCATTAATTTGTTTCCTTCCTCTCTGACACATTGTGAAAAGTGGGATAACACACACAACAGGATAGGCACAGTTATTAGCAGTGTGCTTATCCATACATGCTGTTACAGAGATAATAGGTCTTTTGAGTGATTTAGATACATTAGCTTGCTGAAGACACTGCCCCATTTGCTGCTAAAAAGCAATGACTGTTCAAGGCACCACTGAGAACACTGTTGAGATGAGCAAATGACTAACACACAGTGGCTATTGACACAACTCTTCCTTTCAGAAAGATGTGCAGTTGTTAAGAAATAAATTCACCTTACACTTTTATTACCATTATTTTAATTTTAAAATGTCTTTGATAAAATAATAATTCAAATAATGCTTGTTAAGACACAATAGCACCTATTACTCTTGAAGTCATTCAATTTCTAACCCACCAATACAGCTGAAAGCAGTCACTGCTGTATTACACATAAATGCTGCCATATCACTAACATTTTACCTGGACTATTTCAAGGTAAAGACTTCATCACAATTAAAACACATGAGTCTCAGAGGAATTCACCCAAAGAAATACTGTTCTAAAAGTAATTAATAGGCCACTGCAATCTTAATACCCTCTACATCTACAGATTCATTATAGAGCTCCATGACATTTTTACTGAGTTGAAAATCTTTCAACTAGCTTTGGTTACCAGCTTTATTCCCAATGAATAAAATCGTAGAAACATTTAAAAGTTAAGATTTTTATTCATTATTTCCCACCACCTTTCATTTCCAGTTCCTTGAAGTTCCACTTGATATTAAAATTAAGCAATCAGCATAGCTCTAGAGAACATAAAAAAAAAAAAAAGGAAAGAAAAAAGAAACCCAAGAGGAACACCTAGACTCTTACTTGCACATTTATTTAATCTATTTTTGTTTCTTTTTACTCCTGTTTTGGAATACATTTTAATTGACCTTCATCTATCTCTCAAAATGCTTCAGCTTTAATAAAATAGTGACAGAGAAATATGACGGTCTGTATAGTCTGCTGTTGTATTTAATTAAATTAACTTTCAATTTATTCTCCTTTATTATTATTTACTTAAATTCAGGAACACTCATAACATTTAGGGCAAAAGTGCCTTCTGTGATCAATGGTGCAGATCCCTGGGAATCCCAAACGTCAAGCAAGAGTAGAATATGCAACAGAAAACTGCAATGCAGGTAAGGGGTACACAGTCCATGTCAGAAGTCTGTCTTGGGGAAATTGTTGGACCCCGGTGATAACATATATATCCATTTCTTAGTATTGCACGGAAGTCTCAGAACATCTTCCAGTGAAATTAGATTGTCCATTTCTGTGATGAACTAGGAAAAATATTAATAAACACTGTGTTGCACACATAAGCTGAAGGATGGAGGCAGTCCTCAAGCAGGCAAATTTAAAAGTTACAGGAAGTGAACACTGATCATTAATATGCTTTCCCTCCCTCCAAATTTCAATCCCACAAAGCTTTTGTAAATTGAGAGCTGGTGTATGTTTTTGTCTGTTCCTTGACAAGGCAATTTACTGCTTGTGGTGCACCGGAGGGTGGACACACAGACAACAGATATGTACAGGTCAGTCAGCAGCACCATAGGGGAGGACATCAAGAGACCTTACATAATCATTCCATGGTGGCCAACTGTCCCATACAACTAAAAAAGATTTCCACAGTGGAAACGGAACTTTCAAAAACATGATGCCACTAAAACTGCTTTATTTCCAAGGTAAGTCCCCCTCCTCAAGGAAGGCAACATTTCACCAACAAACACAACATTGCGAGTCTTATGAGTGCTACCAGAATGTCCTTGGGCTGTATGCATCTGAGGTTTCATCTTCCTGACTTTAAATTTAAGTAGGAGTAAAAGGAAAAATGTTCCAGTATAATGTTATTAAAAACAAAATGCCCCTTTTTTGGCATGGTTCTGGTGAGGCTGCAGGATAAGGCATCCAAGTGGTGGGAGATTTACAAAGTCAGCTTATATGTAATCACAGCTTCTATATATATCAGCTGATATATAACTCACATATGTATGTGAAATATAGAAGTAATATAAAAGAAGTATAAAAGTATAATTACAGCTTTTCAATGCTGGAAGGAAATTTTTGCCCAAGTAATAAAAACCCATTTAGAAGTGCTGATTTTTTTTCTGATATCACTTATAGTGAATAAATTCAGAACTATTGGCTAGAGTGGTTTTTCAGTCCCCAGAGGAGGCATTAATAATTTCCTTCTATTAACAAATCATAATTTAATTAAGCAGTAATAAATTTAACCACATGCATTTTCATGAAGAATGTGCAGTCTTAGAATTCTCTGAGGGTTGTCTAGACCTTACAAACATTGAACACAATAGCCTGAGAAGTGGGAGAAATAAACTTAGCATTTAAAATAAACAACTAAATTATAAAGCCTTTTAAATATTTGTCACTTGGAAAGTTTTCCTAAACAGCACTGCTAACTGACAAATTAAGATTATTCCACGTTAATAAAATATGGCATAACTGTCAACATTTTACAGACCTTATACAGTTGTCAAGGACAAGTACATGGAAGTATTATCTTATAAAAACACAAAACCAATATCTACATGATACTTCATATGACCACACTTTGCTATTTCTTCCTAGTGAGAATTCAGGTACTTGTCCATATTTTCATGGATCCGCATATTTGTGTTTACAGCTGCATTAATGACTTATAAAAAGGGCATCTTCTAAGTCATTTACTTAAACATTAAGTTTAATATGAATTCCTACTGAATACAGGTCATCTAAAGGGGCCTGCAATGGTAAACAAACTGGAACAGCAGGTAGGAGAAAAAAAAAAAGAGATAAAATTTCTCATCACTTCCTTAAAATTCCCTTCTGTGCACAGAATACCATTGTGTCATGCTAGCTGGAAGATAGCATCTCATTTTAAATACAACCTCACCTTATTTCATAATAATCCATGTTTTCTGAAATGTTTGAAAAAAATTCAGAAGAATTCAAAATCACTGTGCTATATAAATTTCAAAACAATTGCTTTTCTTGGTTACAAAACAAGTAGTGTCATGTAATTTTTTAACTAGAGAGTTCTTACCATAAAATAAATTTGCATTTATCAACTACATTAGTAAATAAATTGTTGACTGCTGTGTATCTAATGCCTTGCAAAAGCAAATTTCGTCACGTATTTGTCAGCAGTTAATTTTAAATCCAGGAAATCATGTTGTTAAGCAAGGAAATGCATGACACCTGAGTACACAAAGGATTTTGCAGTCCCATGGTTCTTCAGAAAGTAAGTTCTCAGGGTAAATATTACAACACAGTTTTCTCAACCGATTGCTTTTCCATCCAAAAAGACCCAATCTGTTTTTGAGGTCAGGAAGGGTTCCTTGGACCCAGAGTTTGTCACAATACAAATAAGTACTTTTGCTTTGCCTCTGTTACTTGTACATGCACAAGTTCTATAGACCAGCAAAAGTAAATAACTAGAATAAAAAATAACAGAATAAAGAAAAATTACAAACCCCCTCAGTGAACTACACTATTTCCTAAGCTGTGGTGCTCAGTACCAAAACTCATTTTTTTAGAGGTGATAACGCAGAAAAAGGGAAAGAAACTCCGTGCTGTGACACAAATGAAATGCACTATTGCAGTTTTTATAATATCATATCACACCTTAAACTTCTATCCTTCAACTTCCTTGCTTTCGTTCTGTGTTATGACACCATTTACAACTGTCACTGAAGTTAGAACTGAGGCTTCGACGGATTCTCCCATCAACAGAAATGAATGCTTGTGAGTTAGGAGACCAATATTAGTTGTCTAAAAATTCTGATTAAAAATAATTAAATAAGAATAAATGCACAAAAACTATCCAGCAAAAATACTAGATGAAACTGGACAAAAAAAATAATTTAAACAAAACATGAAGATATGAGTAACCCTGAATAGTTTCTTAATTCATATATAGTGTATATTCCAGGATGTTGGAAGGTACAGGAAGCAGAATGTCAAGATCAAAATCAGAAGGCTTTCCTTTTTTTTTCTTCTAATCTTCAGGGTGAAGGGGTGTTTTGACAAGATAAAGCAAGCAATTCTTAATTTCTTTATCGTTGCAGGCCATTTTGTTTTGACATATTAATTATACATTGGTGACAATATTCAAAGAGAGAGTTAGCAAAATAAACAGACAAAATCGATTCATCTTTATTGTTATTATCTAAAATTAAACACTGTATTTGAAGAAACATCACCTGGGCTATGTACAAGAAAGCAGCCTCAGAAGTTTAGCCTGCCGTTTTACTATTGTTTTGCTTTTGTTATGTGTGCACATACCACCTGTACACATACCATCTGCATTCCTCTTTGATTTTAGGATTCAGCAGAATAGCAGTCTGGATCAATTCTACAGTTTTGAAAAAAAAAAACACTCCCAGCTGAGAAGCAACATGACACAAGAGTCCCATATCAATTCTGACCTATGCTGTAGAAACTTTGGCAAATCTGTAGAAGAAACTGGGATGCAACTGGTGGGGTAATTGAGAGGTTTACTAGTTCAATTGCTTTTGCTTGAGGGCAGAGTATATTCAACTAAAGAAGAACTGATAACATGTACTTGAAATGTACAGTGAAAAATCAGATTTTAAAAAGCGTGGTTCTGAAAATACCTTTCTTTTATGATCTTCCCAGCAAAACAGCAGTCTGAAAATTTAATGTCTGTTTCTTTGCACCACATTGTAGTAATTCTACTCAGCAATTAAAGAGACAGAGAATTTCACTCAGTGGAACAGAAAGTAAAATCTCAATGACATAATTATGTTCATATTAGAACAAAAAGGAAACAGATTCAAAAAAACATACTCTTTCCATTAAAAAAGAATCTCCCGAGGAGCAGCTTCATTTCATTTCATTCCAAAACCACTTTCTTACTGCTATTTAAAAGTAGAGTATGCAATTCCCTCTTGTAGAGTAAGATTTACTCCACAACTCCGTACGTGATAAATAATGCAAGAAATTTTGTTCTCCTTGTTCCTTCAGATTCCCAAAGAGTTACAAAACTATCTCTGCTTTACTTCTAACATTTCCTTCATGAGAAATATAGACACGTGAAATGCATTTGCACCACATTTAGTGCCTCCAATGATTCAAGAGGTAATTTTAAATAGTAAGCCCTGAATACATTAGGTAGTTTTAGATAATTCAGATGCCCTCTTTTGTGTTATTTCAAACCATTTCATCACTCATTGCAAAACATTAGAGAAATAATAAGAATTTCCAGATGACAAAGACTGTGCCTCAGGGCTTTTATGTGGGCTTTACTTTATTGTCATTAGTTTCTCTGTCAGGCACAGAGAATAAACACAGTACAACAAACTGATGCCTTTTTAAGAATTATAACTACCATAACTGCTTTGTTATAGTGAATAAACTAAACACAACATTTATTTTATCATTAAATGTGTACTATAACTCAACACTATATAGAAATGTATTCATAGAATTTAGGGACAGACATTTGTTTCTCCTGCATAAACACAGTTGGGAATCAAGTTAAATTAATCAATACATTCTAACTAGAAGAACTTTCAAGAAGTCTTTCTAAAGACAGATAGATATGGAAAACTGGCAAAAGGTTAATTAAAAATTCAGTCATATCAGACAGGGAATTTTGGGTATGAATAGTGAATGTGAGATTGAGAGAGAGGAAGGAATTAACAGACTCAGGACGTTGCTGAGAATTCAGAAGATCTTCCTAAATGCCCTTCTCAATACCCTACAGCAGCTGCAATCAGGATCAAGTTTGTTTCAGTAATGTTCCCTTTTTTGCTCTTCTATTGGCCAGGAAATGCAATGGAAGATTTTGTGTATGCAGTGAAACTATTCACTTGTCGGAGCAGTACTAGATATAGGAAAGATCTTTTAATATCTTCCAAATTTTATCTTGCACAATTTAATGTCATGTATGATTAAACATTACACATATTGATATCACTTATTTGCATGGATGGAAGTTTCATAACCCCTTGATTTCAGTTTCATTTGTACTAAGAACTCTTACAGTCATTGCTCATTCTGCTATGCAGTTGGTATTGAGCATTCCATCCAAACATGGATTTTATGTTTTATGGAGCAAATAAATAAAAACTACCTTATAGATCATTTAATTTCCTCTGTTCAACTCCAGCAAGTTGC